ATATAAGTACACATTCATTACAAGTAAGTACCCCTCAAGATTAGTGGTGGGAAAAGTATCCAGTTGTTATGCCTGAGTAAAAGTAAAGATACCTTATTAGAAAATGACTCAAATAAAAGTGAAAGTCAGCCAGTAAAATACTACTTGAGTAAAAGTCTAGAAGTATTTGGATTTAAATATAGTTATGTATCAAAAGTAAATGTAATTGCTAAAATATACTTAAGTATCAAAAGTAAAAGTATAAATCATTTCAAATTCCTCATATAAGCAAACCACACGGCACCATTTTCTTGTTTTTTATTTATTTACGGATAGCCAGGGGCACACTCCAACAATCAGACATTTTACAAATGAAGCATTTGTGTTTAGTGAGTCCGCCAGATCAGAGGCAGTAGGGATGACCAGGGATGTTCTCTTGATAAGTGTGTGAATTTGACAATTTTCCTGTCCTGCTAAGCATTCAAAATGTAATGAGTGCTTTTGGGTGTCAGGGAAATTGTATGGAGTAAAAAGTTCATTATTTTCTTTAGGAATGTAGTGAAGTAAAAGTAAAAGTTGTCAAAAATATAAATAGTAAAGTAAAGTACAGATACCCCGAAAAACGACTTAAATAGTACTTGAAAGTATTTTTACTTAACGACTTTACACCACTGCTCAAGATATACTTAATTTCAACTAGCTAAATCCTGTCTAACACCTAGTAATTGCATTGTACTTATTAAATGTACTCTGTGGTGTACTTGTGGGTTTATCCTCTTACTTGCATGGCAAAGAGATTCAGGTTTTCATAATGGGTAGCGTAAATGGGTAGCGGTTTTTACTCTCTCCTTTCCCAGATGTTTAGTTCATTTCATTCCGATCTCCTCTGCATTATTGTAGCCATTTGCTACAGCCTGTCAACTATGCCTCTGCCTATCCCTGTTCTCTCCTCTCCGCACAGGCTACACAAACGCCTCACACCGCGTGGCTGCTGCCTCTCTAACCTGGTGGTCCCTGCACGCACCCCACACCTGGAGTTCCAGGTCTCAGGCAGCCTCTGGAACTGCCGTTCTGCGGCCAACAAGGCTGACTTCATCCCAGCCTATGCTACCCTCCAGTCCCTCGACCTTCCTGGCGCTGACGGAAACATGGATTACCACTGAAAACACTGTTACTCCTACTGCTCTATCCTCGTCTGACCATGTGTTCTCGCATACCCCGAGAGCATCTGGTCAGAGGGGTGGTGGCACAGGAATCCTCATCTCTCCCAAGTGGACATTCTCAATTTTTCCCCTAACCCATCTGTCTATCTCCTCATTTGAATTCCATACTGTCACAGTCACTAGCCCATTTAAGCTTAATATCCTTGTCATCTATCGCCCTCCAGGTTCCCTTGGAGAGTTCATCAATGAGCTTGACGCCTTGATAAGTTCCTTTCCTGAGGATGGCTCACCCCTCACAGTTTTGGGGGATTTCAACCTCCCTACGTCTACATTTGACTCATTTCTCTCTGCCTCCTTCTTTCCACTCCTCTCCTCTTTTGACCTCACCCTCTCACCGTCCCCCCCTACTCACAAGGCAGGCAATACGCTTGACCTCATCTTTACTAGATGCTGCTCTTCTACTAATCTCACTGCAACTCCCCTCCATGTCTCCGACCACTACTTTGTATCCTTTTCTCTCTCGCTCTCCTCCAACACTACTCACTCTGCCCCTACACAGATGGTAATGCGCCGCCGCAACCTTCACTCTCTCTCTCCCACTACTCTCTCCTCTTCCATCCTATCATCTCTTCCCTCTGCTCAATCCTTCTCCCTCCAATCTCCTGATTCTGCCTCCTCAACCCTCCTCTCCTCCCTTTCTGCATCCTTTGACTCTCTGTGTCCCCTATCCTCCCGGCCGGCTCGGTCCTCCCCTCCAGCTCCGTGGCTTGATGACTCATTGCGAGCTCACAGAACAGAGCTCCGGGCAGCGGAGCGGAAATGGAAGAAAACTAAACTCCCTGCCGACCTGGCATCTTTTCACTCCCTCCTCTCTACATTTTCTTTATCTGTTTCTGCTGCTAAGGCCACTTTCTACCACTCTAAATCCCAAGCATCTGCCTCTAACCCTAGGAAGCTCTTTGCCACATTCTCCTCCCTGCTGAATCCCCCCCCCCCCCCCCCCCCCCCCCTCCTCTCTCTCTGTGGATGACTTCGTCAACCACTTTGAAAAGAAGGTTGACGACATCCGATCCTCGTTTGTTAAGTCTAATGACACTGCTGGTCCTGCTCACACTGCCCTACCCTATGCTTTGACTTCTTTCTCCCCTCTCTCTCCAGATAAAATCTTGCGACTTGTGACTGCAGGCCGCCCAACAACCTGCCCGCTTGACCCCATCCCCTCCTCTCTTCTCCAGACCATCTCCGGTGACCTTCTCCCCTACCTCACCTCGCTGATCAACTCATCCTTGACCGCTGGCTATGTCCCTTCCGTCTTCAAGAGAGCGAGAGTTGCACCCCTTCTCAGAAAACCAACACTGATGTCAACAACTACAGACCAGTATCCCTTCTTTCTTTTCTTTCCAAAACTATTGAGCGTGCCGTCTTTAGCCAACTCTCTTGCTATCTCTCTCAGAATGACCTTCTTGATCCAAACCAGTCAGGTTTCAGGACTGGTCATTCAACTGAGACTGCTCTTCTCTGTGTCACGGAGGCTCTCTGCACTGCTAAAGCTAACTCTCTCTCCTCTGCTCTTGTCCTTCTAGACCTGTCTGCTGCCTTTGATACTGTGAACCATCAGATCCTCCTCTCCACCCTCTCCGAGCTGGGCATCTCCGGCGCGGCTCACTCCTGGATCACGTCCTACCTGACCGGTCGCTCCTACCAAGTGGCGTGGCGAGAAGCTGTCTCCGCACCACGTGCTCTCACCACTGGTGTCCCCCAGGGCTCAGTTCTAGGCCCTCTCCTATTCTCCCTATACACCAAGTCACTTGGCTCTGTCATATCCTCACATGGCCTCTCCTATCATTGCTACGCTGACGATACACAACTAATCTTCTCCTTTCCCCCTTCTGATAACCAGGTGGCGAATCGCATCTCTGCATGTCTGGCAGACATATCAGTATGGATGACGGATCACCACCTCAAGCTGAACCTTGGCAAGACGGAGCTGCTCTTCCTCCCGGGGAAGGACTGCCCGTTCCATGATCTCGCCATCACGGTTGACAACTCCATTGTGTCCTCCTCCCAGAGTGCGAAGAGCCTTGGCGTGACCCTGGACAACACCCTGTCGTTCTCCGCTAACATCAAGGCGGTGACCCGATCCTGCAGGTTCATGCTCTACAACATTCGGAGAGTACGACCCTGCCTTACACAGGAAGCGGCACAGGTCCTAATCCAGGCACTTGTCATCTCCCGTCTGGATTACTGCAACTCGCTGTTGGCTGGGCTCCCTGCCTGTGCCATTAAACCCATACAACTCATCCAGAATGCCGCAGCCCGTCTGGTGTTCAACCTTCCCAAGTTCTCTCACGTCACCCCGCTCCTCCGCACACTCCACTGGCTTCCAGTTGAAGCTCGCATCTGTTACAAGACCATGGTGCTTGCCTATGGAGCTGTGAGGGGATCGGCACCTCTGTACCTTCAGGCTCTGATCAGTCCCTACATCCAAACGAGGGCATTGCGTTCATCCACCTCTGGCCTGCTGGCTCCCCTTCCTCTGCGGAAGCATAGTTCCCGCTCAGCCCAGTCAAAACTGTTCGCTGCTCTGGCACCCCAATGGTGGAACAAGCTCCCTCACGACGCCAGGACAGCGGAGTCACTCACCACCTTCCGGAGACATTTGAAACCCCACCTCTTTAAGGAATACCTGGGATAGGATAAAGTAATCCTTCTACCCCCCCCCAAAAAAAAAAAAAAAGATATTGTAAAGTGGTTATCCCACTGGCTATAGGGTGAATGCACCTATTTGTAAGTCGCTCTGGATAAGAGCGTCTGCTAAATGACGTAAATGTAAATGTAAATGTAAAGATGAATTATACATTATTTTTGTATTATAAACTGGGTGGTTCGAACCCTGAATGCTGATTGGCTGACAGCAGTGGTATATCAGACCGTATACCACGGGGATGACAAAACATTTATTTTTACTGCTTTAATTACGTTGGTAACCAGTTTATAATAGCAATAAGGCACATTTTACATTTACATTTTAGTCATTTAGCAGACGCTCTTATCCAGAGCGATTTACAATTAGTGAGTGCATACTTCTTCTTTTTTTATACTGGCCCCCCGTGGGAATCGAACCCACAACCCTGGCGTTGCAAGCGCCATGCTCTACCAACTGAGCAACACGGGGCCACATATACCACATATATTGGCCATGTAACACACCCCCTTGTGCCTTATTGCTTAATTATATTCTGGTATGAGACCCATATGGTAGATCCCAGTCTGTGAGGTTGACCTATATATAATATGTTTTTGTAAACTCAACCAAGGTAACCCAGATGGTACACTTTAGGGGCAAGTGCTAGCAACAACATTGAGTGGAGATTTTGAAGAGTGCGGATTGACTGGAAGGTAACTAGAGCCTATTGAGCTTCCAACCTTTCTAATCTCTGACACCCTGCACATCTGTCCACAAGAGATTACAACCTTGTGACAGTTATTACTGACTCGGATGCAGCTGAGAAGAAACTAAACACTAAATTGGTGAATTTAGTGGAAACTTCTCCATTTGTAACAAACATGGTCACAAGCATTTGTTGTTACACCTCTGTAATGACAGACTGCAATTACCACCAGTTACATGTTATTATATTGTAACTATGAGTTATTACGATTAACTACAATACCTGTTACATGTAATAAGGACCCCTTAAAATGAAGTTTTACCTTTTAGACTTTATCTTGCAAATTTTCTTTAAATTCCTCTAGCAACACCAGGTTGGTTGCCAAATACACACGTTTGAAGCTGAGAACAAAAGTTTGGTTAGGCATTTGAATAAGACGAACGTTTTTCAATGTGACACAGAACGCGCCGGCGCAGTAAGATCCACGTGGTTGAAAAGCGGTCACGCAGTATCTGATTGAAATGGAGGACATGGAGAGACGTATCAGAATTTGCTCGCTTTTTACATTCAGATAACTAGGTTCATTAGCCACATTTTATATTATTGGATTTATTATATTGTTTTGTTAAATTTCAACTGCCAGTATGGGAAAGTCCAAGGTAAGCAGTTAAGAAGTTGTTGGCTAACTAAAGTTTTCTAACTAACGTTAGGTTAGCTAGCTAGCTATTGACACGATTCAGGTTATTGTAAACGGAATATACTGGGAACTATATTGAAGATTGTCTTATCAGCATGTGGATGTTTAGCTAGGTGGATGAAAAAATGATGTTATGAGAATATCTGAACAATGGTTACATCCACAACGGCTACAGTACCGGCGTTAGCTCGTAACATAGGGAAGTATATTGGCCAGCTAAACTAACGTGTTAATTCAATTTCAGACCAAAAACCAGAAGAAATCACGTTTGAGTGCGAACCATGTGGCGGAAGAGGTGTTCGGTGCGGTCCCTCACTCCTTCGTGTTTCACCGTGGCCAAGTCGGCAAGAATGTCGGTCAACTCGTGGAGGACATGCGGCGCGTCATGGAGCCATTCACTGCAGAATCCCTTAAGGTCCGTTTGTTCATGTCATGAAACTCTAAACTGGTCTTTATAACTGACTTGAATCAAAGTGAAATTACTTCAAGCCACATTTGTTACTTAATATATTTTGTGAATTTATAAAAACGAATCATAATTCTGTGATTTTGCACTTTCAACCACTGCTCTGAGTATACATACAAGTGCATCTTGTGCTCATAATGGATTGCATTTGAGGGCTTGCCTGCGTGTGATTGACAGGTGAGGAAGAAGAATGTGCTGAAGGACTTTGTGGCTGTAGCAGGACCACTTGGAGTGACACACTTCATGATCTTCACCAAGACGCCCAGCAGTGTCAACATGGTAAATATGTCTGCAAACACCAGGGGTGTATTCATTACTGAAACCGTTTAACTGTTTATGAACCAAACTTAAGTAAACAAAACTCTTGTTTTTGTTGTCAAAACGTTTTATGTTTGGAGTAAACAAATTATTTTGCAACAGACTAAATGTTTTGCAACAGAATCGGCGTAATGTTAACACCCCTGTTGCATTACTGTACCATGAGGGGTTTTAGCAGTAGACACAGTCCCTATTTTTACAGCTGCTCTCTAAACCCTTGGCCTTTCAAAGGCAGGCAAAGATAATATATTTATGATTTATTGCTATTGATCAATGAAGTATATGCTGTGTCAGCCACCTCCTTAGTTATTCCAATTGCTGATGCAGATGATGAGTTATGAGAATATCTGAATTCATGATTAAGATGTTTTATCACTGATGCATCAATATCTACAGTTGGGCTGTTTACCAGATCCTAATGGCAAATGAGTGAGTGAATTTTTATTTTTTTAAAATATTTTTTTCTCTTTCCAGAGGCTTGCTCGGCTGCCCAAAGGCCCTATGCTCCATTTCCGGGTGACCAAAGTGAGTACACAAACCCATATGACTTAATGGGAGAAATAGGCTCAAAGGATGACAGATTTCGACATGACTGTTCAGTGATATATGTTCAAAGTAAACGCACTGATGAGCCCCAATACTAGAAACAAGCAAATATAGGGTTTAGGGCTTCAATTGCTTTTCCTAAATATGTTATTTCTCGTTTTCAGTACTCTCTTATTAAAGATGTGGTCTCGTCGCTGAAGAGGCACAGAATGCATGAACAGCAGTTCACGCATCATCCACTGCTGGTCCTCAATAACTTTGGCTCAGAGGGCATGCATGTCAAACTTATGGCCACCATGTTCCAAAACATGTTCCCATCCATCAATGTGCACAAGGTATGTCAAAGGTACCAGTACATGGATTTTTGCTGGATTGAGGATTTGTGAAATATGATGATATTATAGTCTTCTGATTATCTGTGACGATCACTCAAAAGTAAACGCTTTCTGATATCCCACAATCCTTTTATCCTTTAGTATTAGATTGACGAGAATCAGGTTAGTATGCATTTTAACAGATTTGCTTCTTGTAGGTAGCCCTCAACGCCATAAAGAGATGTGTTTTGCTGAACTACGATCCAGTGTCTCAAGAAATTGAATTTCGCCATTAGTAAGTATACAATATGTTTTGTGCACTCATTTTAATTCAAGGTGGCTTGGTTACTCTATAGGAAGACTGCTAGGGCTCAGAGGATGACAGATTGTGAATTGACTGTTTAGTGATGTATATTCAAAGTAAACGCACTGATGCGCCCATCATGCAGAAACCCCACCCCCCCTGTAGCTGGCTAAATGGTTCAGTCCACACTCATCCTTGTCCTTCTCCCTGTCCCCCTCTGCAGCAGTCTGAAAGTAGTCCCTGTGGGCATGAGTAGAGGAGTGAAGAAGCTGATGCAGGAAAAGTTCCCCAACATGAGCAAGTTTGAGGACATCAGTGAGCTGCTGATGAAGTAAGAGCCCTGGCTGTTGTTGTCCTAGCAGACGGCAGACTATCTCCTGCTGTACTTGAGGCTGGTCTATCTGCATGTGTTTGGGTTCTCAATATTGCTTCGATTTTTAGCTGTTTCTAATGTTTCATAATGTTATTTGGGTGATACTACCATGTCTATGTTGGCTGTGAAGTGATCTACCTACAAAGTCATTCTGATTTACCCTACTGTGTAGTGCATGGTTGTTTACATTTGACCGGCTGTTATGTGCTCTCTTACCCTGCTAACTTTCTTTCAGAGGGGCCAATCTTTCAGAAAGTGAAGCCGAGCAAGATGGAGATCACAACATAACGGAACTGCCACAGATCTACTCCGGGCGTGGTAACATGGAGTCTCAACAGAGCGCTGTGAGACTGACTGAGGTGATTACCATGGTGCCTTAGAGTGGCTGGGATTACATTGTAACCAGTGTTTCAATAGAGTTGTCTGTGTTGGCAGTGACTATAAATACTAGGTTTATAGCATCAGTTTGTCTTGTCTTTTTCTGTCCATGGGATGTACATGATGAGAAGACAACTATGATTACCTGTGATATTTCACAAAAGTAAACGCTTACTGACACATCCTGACAGAGGTTATCACCATGGTGCCTTCAGCAGTTGATCCTACTGATGTGACATTGTAACCAGTTTCTGGTAGGTTTTTACAGCATCGGTTTGTTTTCTCTTCAGATTGGCCCACGCATCACCATGCAGCTGGTGAAGATCGAGGAGGGAATGGGAGAGGGAAACATACTCTACCATGCAGTCAGTAAGTACACCTGTCAGTTTCCTGTTGATTTAGCTGTCCGTGGGATGTACATGATGAAAAGATAACTATGATTACCTGTGATATTTCAACAACAAAAAAGTAAACGCTTACTGACACATCCACCGAGAATGGGTGTTTCTGTTGATTGGTCATGGTAAAATGCTGATGCAGGCCCTCTGAATGTATTTTCTGAAGTCGCCAAGACTGAGGAAGAGCTTCAGGAGATCCTGATCCGAAAAGAGGCGCAGATGAAAGAAAAGCAGGAACGGAAGAAAAAACAAGAGCAGGATGTTGCCCAAAAGAAAGCGTTACGGGAGGAGAACAAGTGAGTGTTATAGCACATTGTAACTGCTTTTCATTCTATCTGAGTTGGAGTGGAACAGTGATGTTTGTTTCTGTAATGTTAGGAAAAGAAGCATGGCAGGCATCAAGAGGAAGCGCCAGGAGGAGGAAGAGCATGACCCTGAAGTGGAGGATCCTGGGAACCAGGATAACAGGCCTCCGGTTGTTGAATCTGACGACGAGGCAGAGTACTACAGACAGGCTGTAGGGGAGGAGCCAGATGAAGGTATGTACTGAACCAAGTTTCTATAGTCTGTTTTGTTGTACTATATTATTGTGCTACTTTGGCAGACAATCACCTTCTATATTTATTTTTCTCCCTCCCCCATCTAGATATGTTCCCTGCAGCCAAGAGGAGGCAAAGACCTGAAAGGCCCTCAGGTGGACCCTTCAAGAAGAGGAAACCGTTTTCTGGCGACGACAGTAAAAACAAATATGGTTCCAAGTCACCTCATAGGTCTGGTCCAGGAGGGAAACCCAGAGACCGAATGGGGGGTGACCGGGACAGGAAAGAGGGAAAGAAATTTGGGGATGGAGGCAAATCTTTTGGAAAGATGTCACCGGGGGGCAAGAGGTTTGGAGGAAAGAAATTTGGGGATGGGGACAAGCGGTTTGGAGGGAAGAAATTCAGTGAAGGAGATAAGAGATTTGGAGGGAAGAAGTTTGAGAGGGGAAAGACATTTGGGGGTGATGGGGGTTCTACGTTTAAGGGCAGACCTCGTCATGGTGGTTTGAAGAAGGGTCCTGGAGGGGCGAAGGGGGGCTTCAAACAGAGGAAGGGGAAGAGCTGAGCTTCACAACCCTCTGAAAGCCTGGACTGATGAATGCTGAGCACACTACCGTGGTAGAACACCAGGTGGCAATATGGACTCTCTATTGTTGTCACTGCAGCTTCTGATCAACATGCCAACATGAACAGGAATGTATTAATTCATGAAAGGACATTGGTATTGCAACAAGTCAGCGGGAGGACTGGATGAAAATGCAATGATGTAGTTTTGTACCTTGTGAAGATGTTTATTAAACATGTTATAAGCATTGGCAAATAAATTGCTGAATGCAAAGTACAGCTCAATTGTGTGTTGCCTTTTTTTCCTTGCGGCTGACACATGTAGCCTCTGCCACAGGCTTTCACCTCAAAGCATGAGCGTGAACTGGAGCCGAGGCTGAAGCGCATGACACTCAAGTTGTGAAATGTGCAATTGGTAATGTGCTACAAGTTGAACAATGGCATGCAGCGTTAGTCACACTTTTTCAAAATACATACAAATGGGTTGATGGGGGAGGCAGAGGTCAGAAAGGGAAGTGACTGCTTTAAATGTTTGTTGTACATGTAACTAACGTATCATGGGAAGTTCTACTGGTCTCCGTGTGAATGTCTACCACAGTAACTGTAGCCTTACGTCAGTGTCAATGAGTAAGTACCAGTACTAATCTGGCTTTATTCTGAGGTCTGTAAAATAGAACGCTTCCTCTTGACCTGCAACCTGTATGTTAGCATCTACTTCATCATGTGTATCAGTGTGAACCTCTGTGGCCATTGTGCACCCCTTCTTCACCCGCAACCATGTGAACCCCGCCAAAGCCAAGGCTGCCAGTGTCATCATCTGGATCTTTGTGACAGCCATCTCCTCTCCTGTGTTGAAGTTTGCATCCACAACAAAACCAATTGTGTATCCTACTCCTATTGCACCACCAGTCATGAGGTTACAGTTGCATACTCTCACTTGTTTTACAAAATGTTTCTGTCTGTGGTTGGGTGTTTTATTCCCTTCCTGGTCACATTTGCATCAAACTGCGCAGTGTGGAGGAATGAAAATATAACCTCCCTAGAGAAACGGAAGGTGGCCCTGATGGTGTTTGCAGTGGTGGTGCTATATGCCATTTCCTTTGTGCCTTATCACCTCCTCCAGAGCTACTATCTCTACCGGAAGGTTAAACTTGGCTCTGTCTGCGACTGGGTGCACAAGGCCTACCAGGTGTCCAAGGGACTGGCTACACTGAACATGTGCATCCATCCACTGCTCTACATGGCTGTGTTTGATAGCATCAGAGTGGCCTGCTGTGGAAGGAGCTCTGCAGATATGGCAATGAGGAGGACATGAAATAAATGATGCTCTTGCTGCTCTTTGGATGCTTGCACTGATGGTGTTTCTGATAAGCAAGTGTTACACATAGCTGATGAATTATCTGTAAATAACTGCAGCTAATGTTCCTTCCAATGTTCTGATGTAAGATGTTGTTGATGGTCGTGTTTTTTTCAATAAAGTCTAAACTATGCCCTCTTCCATATTCATTATTACAGTATCGGACAATAGAAATTGAACTAATTCAAAATAACTATTTGAAATGTTGCTACATTCGTACATAACTTAGTTTTCACATGAGCTTACAGAACAGGAAAAAAAAGTTATTATAACCACCATTTTGTGCCCTAGGACACAGTGGATGGTGGTTGGTAGAATGCGCTTGTTTGAAATGGAAAAGGATGCGGTAGTTATTGATAAAGAGGCACATCAAGAGGAAGCAGCTGCTTTACAAGTGGGATGCACTGTTGAGCGCTACATCCAGAGGGGTTCGTGCTAAATGTACGGAGATTGTTACAGCCGGTTAAATGGCGTCCCTTGAGAGGGCAAGAACAAGATGTATGTCAGGAGAAGGGCAGTATTATCATAAGGAGATGTATACTTGGAATACGGAGGAGGAAAAAGAGGCAGAGGAGGTCTAAGAGAGGGAGGAAGAGGGTGAGCTTGAGTCAGTTAAAAATGGCGGGGAAAGGGAGATGGTTTGTTAAAGAAGAATGGTAGAAATTGTAAGCAGAGTGAGCTGTTTGCCGGATTGAAGACAGGAGGAGAAATGGAAGTGAATGAGGGCGAAGTATCAGAGGTGCAGTGGCGACTTGTCATTATGGCAGGTAGCCCCATCTGTTTAGCAAAAAAAAAATATATATACAGTTGAAGTCGGAAGTTTACATACACCTTAGACAAATACATTTAAACTCCGTTTTTCACAATTCCTGACATTTCATCCTAGTAAAAACTCCCTGTCTTAGGTCAGTTAGGATCACCACTTTATTTTAAGAATGTGAAATGTCAGAATAATAGTAGAGAGAATGATTTATTTCAGCTTTTATTTATTTCATCACATTCCCAGTGGGTCAGAAGTTTACATACACTCAATTAGTATTTGGTAGCATTGCCTTTAAATTGTTTAACTTGGGTCAAACGCTTCCACAAGCTACCCACAATAAGTTGGGTGAATATTGGCCCATTCCTCCTGACAGAGCTGGTGTAACTGAGTCAGGTTTGTAGGCCTCCTTGCTCGCACACACGTTTTCAGTTCTGCCCACACATTTTCTATAGGATTGAGGCGACTCCGGGATGCTGACCTTCTAGGCAGAGTTGCAAAGAAAAAGCCATATCTCAGACTGCCCATTTTAATATTTTATTGGCCAGTCTGAGAAATGGCTTTTTCTTTGCAACTCTGCCTAGAAGGCTAGCATCCCGGAGTCGCCTCTTCACTGTTGACATTGAGACTGGTGTTTTGCGGGTACTATTTAATGAAGCTGCCAGTTGAGGACCTGTGAGGCGTCTGTTTCTCAAACTAGACACTCTAATGTATTTGTCCTCTTGCTCAGTTGTGCACCGGGGCCTCCCACTCCTCTTTCTATTCTGGTTAGAGCCAGTTTGCGCTGTTCTGTGAAGGGAGTAGTACACAGCGTTGTACGAGATCTTCAGTTTCTTGGCAATTTCTCGCGTGGAATAGCCTTCATTTCTCAGAACAAGAATAGACTGACGAGTTTCAGAAGAAAGTTATTTGTTTCTGGCCATTTTGAGCCTGTAATCAAACCCACAATCGCTGATGCTCCACTAGTCTCAAGAAGGCCAGTTTTATTGCCTCTTTAATCAGCACAACAGTTTTCAGCTGTGCTAACATCATTTACATTTTAGTAATTTAGCAGACGCTCTTATCCAGAGCGACTTACAGGAGCAATTAGGGTTAAGTGCCTTGCTCAAGGGCACATCGACAGATTTTTCACCTAGCCGGCTCGGGGATTAGAACCAGCGACCTTTCGGTTACTGGCACAACACTCTTAACCACTAAGCTACCTGCCGCACCGTAATAATTGCAAAAGGGTTTTCTAATGATCAATTAGCCTTTTAAAATGATAAACTTGGATTAGCAAACACAACGTGCCATTGGAACACAGGACTGATGGTTGCTGATAATGGGCCTCTGTACGCCTATGGATATATTCCATAAAAAATCAGCCGTTTCCAGCTACGATAGCCATTTACAACATGAACAATGCCTACACTGTATTTCTGATCAATTTTATTTGAATGGACAAATAAATATGTGTCACATATCAGTTTGCAAAAAATGTAAAAATAAAATAGAAAATATAATAATTTAGTTAATAAAGCTGCATACAAACATTGTCTCTTTTTTGCTTTCTTGAGTAAGGCAGCGCCAAAATGCAGGTGTTTCAGCCTAACTCAGTGCTTTCTGTGGTGGTGGGGCAGCCAGCAGAAAATACAGAGTGTATGGGTTGGTAATGTTCTCTAGTTGCGCCGTGATTGGCTCAGTGTTCTGTCACTCATGGGGACACTACATCACCGCAAAATCTATGGGTAGAGCTCGAAAATTCAAGCCCCTTGGGTGCTGCCATAGATTTACATTAGAAGTGCCCATCCAAGAAGGCTCAAGGTCATTTCCCACAGATAAAATGAAGTCAAATCACGGTATATCTACCGTAGCTCTGATCATGTCAACATCATACTTTCAAAATCTTAGCTAGCAAGCTAGACACGCAGTCATCATGAATCAAGTCGACAATCTACTGGCAAATCCTTTTCAATCCTTGTCATATGAAGATAAATTATAGATAAAATGTATCGGTGCTCATCGGCCATTGGACATAAACATTACACAACAAGTTGGAAATCGCAAATTTAACAATGAGTGGTTTGGAAGGAATCAGTGGCTAACTGCAAGCATTGCAAAGCAATCACTAGCCTGCTATTCAGTGGAGTGGGTGGGTGGTCCAAGCCTGGGTTTAAGGGTCTCTTTTCCAAGCTTAAAAGGATAAACATTCACATGCAACACCATGGGCCAGAAAATGTTGAATACATTGGCCATACTGTCAATCCAGCATGACTCCTGCCGTATTCAAAACAACTGGAAACTCGGAACTGGGAAATCTCAGACTTCAGTGAGTTCAAGACAACTGGGAACTCTGAAAAAAAATTAGCTCCCACTGGGAAAATACGTTTTGAACGGTCATCCAACTCAGAATTCCAAGTTGGGAACTCGGGCCTCTTTCTAGTGCTCCGACCTGAAGATCACTGCTGTCATGATTCAACCTTGTTTTTTTCAGAGTTCCCAGTTGTCTTGAACGCACCATAAATCCAGAGAATGCCGAACTTTGATGACAACATTTGGCCACAAGAAGGAACGCCGCGCCACTGTCCTGTTCAAGTGAGCACAGCACAACAAGGTGAGTCAAAAACTGTATTGTATGCTGCTGCATAAATGATGTAATATGCCAGGGATGTATGTATACTGTAGCTAAGAAAGTCATACTAAGTGTATGTTCTGTAGTAAGTCTATGTGCCTCACCCTAATAATTTGGTCCCTTTCCCCCTCATAACTTAGCCTACTGTTCTCGGCGGACCCTTTTCTGGCAACGACAGTAAAAACAAATATGGTTCCAAGTCACCTCATAGGTCTGGTCCAGGAGGGAAACCCAGAGACCGAATGGGGGGTGATTGGGACAGGAAAGAGGGAACAACATTTGGGGATGCAGCAAATCTTTTGGAATGATGTCACCGGGGTTTAAGAGGTTTGGAGGGAAGAAATTTGGGGATGGCGACAAGAGATTTGGAGGGAAGAAGTTTGAGGGGGGAAAGAAATTTGGGGAAAATACATTTGGGGGTGATAGGGGTTCTAAGTTTAAGGGCAAACCTCATCATGGTGGTTTGAAGAAGGGTCCTGGAGGGGCGAAGGGGGGCTTCAAACAGAGGAAGGGGAAGAGCTGAGCTTCACAACCCTCTGAAAGCCTGGACTGATTAATGCTGGACGCAGTACCGTGGTAGAACACCAGGTGGCAGTATGGACTCACTATTGTCACTGCAGCTTCTGATCACTGATCAAAATGCCAACATGAACAGGAATGTATTAATTCATGAAAGGACAATGGTATTGCCACAAGTCAGCGGGAGGACTGGATGAAAATGCAATGATGTAGCTTTGTTCCTTATGAAGATGTTTATAAAAATGTTATAAGCATTGGCAAATAAATTGCTGCATGCAAAGTACAGCTCAATTGTGTGTAGCCTTTTTTTCTTGGGGCTGACTCACATGTAGCCTCTGCCACAGGCTTTCATCTCAAAGCGTGAGCGTAAACTGGAGCCGAGCTGGCACCCATGAAACTCGAGTTGTGACATTTGCATTTGGTACTGTGCTACAAATAGAACAGGGTGCAGGCAGTGTTAGTCACACTTCTTGAAAAAACCTACAAATGGGTTGATAGCCTTATCTGTCAGTGTCAATGAGTAAGTACTAATCTGGCTTCATTCTGAGATCATTGCCATTATTTATATATATATTAAATGTATATCTGTAAAGTGTATGGACAAAATGGAGTAAAATTGGACCGTTATAATTGACCACCTGTTAATGTTTTAGAATACTGGTGCATACTTCAGGTTTTTGTCTCTGAATAGACTAGAGAAGTGACATCAGAATCTGTCTTGTGTCTTTTCTTAGAGAAATAATATTTAACTTATTGTTTTAGGCTCCATGGGGTGGGTTTGATTCATGGGGGGCCAATATGAAAAATGTATGCTCTCACTAACTGTAAGTCGCTCTGGATAAGAGTGTCTGCTAAATGAACTGTTGTGACTGATGTATTGGCTGACACAATGCAAAGTTCCCCTTAGGGGATCAGGATGAACTGCGTAAAAGAATGGCTCTCCACTTCAGAATATAATGAATATCTTTATCCTTTTTCTTCAACAGAGATGAACAAATACCACTTTTGGGAGCCAGTTTGCGCAGCCTTTTCCCCTCCTATTTTCTTGTCAACACAGAACAAACATGATTGATCACAACTCTTCTTGTCATAGTGACAAGTTCCAAGTGCAGTTATTGCCTTCAATGTATGGTGTTGAGTTCTGCGTGGCGTTGGTTGGTAACCTGTTTGCCCTGAGACTCCTGGCAACCAGGGAGAGGAACAACTGGCACACTGGTGTGGTGCTGTCCTGTAACCTGGCCATCAGTGACCTGCTCTATGTCCTCACCCTGCCCCTGCTCATAGTCTACTACATGCAGGAGAAGAACTGGATGTTTGGGATCGCGGGCTGTAAGATAGAACGCTTCCTCTTCACCTGCAACCTGTATGTCAGCATCTACTTCATCATGTGTATCAGTGTGAACCGCTATGTGGCCATTGTGTACCCCTTCTTCACCCGCAACCATGTGAACCCCACTAAAGCCAAGGCTGCCAGTGTCATCATCTGGATCTTTGTGACAGCCATCTCCTCCCCTGTGTTGAAGTTTGCATCCACATGTCCAAATGGAAGCAACAAAACCAATTGTGTATCCTACTCCTATTGCACCACCAGTCATGAGGTTACAGTTGAATACTCTCACTTGTTTTACAAAATGTTTCTGTCTGTGGTTGGGTGTTTTATTCCCTTCCTGGTCACATTTACATCATACTGCGCAGTGTTGAGGGTGGTGTGGAGGAATGCAAATATAACATCCCTAGAGAAACGGAAGGTGGTCCTGATGGTGTTTGCAGTGGTGGTGCTATATGCCATTTCCTTTGTGCCTTATCACCTCCTCCAGAGCTACTATCTCTACCGGAAGTTTAAACTTGGCTTTGTCTGCGACTGGGTGCACAAGGCCTACCAGGTGTCCAAGGGACTGGCTACACTGAACATGTGCATCCATCCACTGCTCTACATGGCTGTGTTTGATAGCATCAGAGTGGCCTGCTGTGGAAGGAGCTCTGCAGATATGGCAATGTATACTACATGAACAAAATCATGCTCTCTCTGCTCTTTCAATGCTTGCACTGATGTTGTTTCTGATAAGCAAGTGTCACAGTTGATTACTTTTCTGTAAATAATATGCACTTCCTTCCAATGTTCTGATGTAAGATGTTTTTGATGGTCATGTTTCTTTTCATAACGTCTAAACCAGGTTTAATCCGGCCCGCGAGATTATAAAAAAAAAAAAAAGATTTTTTTTTTGTTGTAAAGTATAAAAATGCGCTGCAATTTTTCAATAAAATAAACTGCTGTTCCAATTGCGTCCACTGGATGGCGCAATAGCAATTGTGTTAAGCAAGCAAACTGTTTATACCGGTGCAGAGCAAGTAGGTCAAGCACGTGCAGCCAATGAGCTACTTTGTTTTGCCCGCGATATTTATTACGGCTTCTACTTTTAACATTATGTGCTTTGGCACCCTCATTGCCCCAATATGTCTCTGTCAAAAAAGAGAAAAGTGGACGCAGAGTGCAGAGTGTTCCAAGAAAAATGGTCATCCTCCTATTTATTCACGGAATTGAATGGGAAAGCTGTATGTTTGGTGTGTTCAGAGCATGTTGCAGTGCTGAAAGAATATAACCTTCGTCGCCACTATGTGAGTCTTCATGCCGACAAATATGACAACTTTCAAGGACAGCGGAGATGAGAGAAGGTGAATGAACTGTTGGCGGGTCTGAAGAAACAGCAGTCTGTGTTTACTCACAGCCGAGACATCAGTGACGCTGCAGTGAAAGCTAGCTACCTCATTGCTAATGAAATCGCAGTGGCTTCAAAACCATTTAGTGAGGGTGAATTTGTAAAAACATGCATGATGAAGGCAGCAGAGATTGTGTGCCCTGAAAAGCGGCAGGCTTTTGTAAATATCAGCCTGACAAGAAACACAGTTGCAGACAGGATTTCCGATCTTTCAGTGGATTTGGACAGCCAGTTGAAGCAAAAAGTAAAGTAATTTATTGCGTTTTCGGTTGCAATTGATGAAAGCACGGACATTACAGATGTTGCACAACTGGCCATTTTCATCCGCGGAGTTGATGACACATTGACCGTCACCGAGGAGTTCGTGGAGTTGGTGCCGATGACAGATACAACGACAGCAGCTGATATTTTTACCGCACTCGTCGGCGCGCTGGACAGGGTCAGAGTGGACTGGTCCCGCGCTGTCAGCCTGGCTACAGATGGTGCGCCCTCAATGATCGGGAAAAAAGCAGGCGTTGTGACAAAGTTCAGAGAGAAAGTGCAATCTGCAAATGGAGGACGTGATTTTTTGACTTTTCACTGTATTTTGCACCAGGAGGCTTTGTGTTGCAAGTCATTAAAGATGGATAACGTCATGAAGGTGGTCATCCAAACTGTTAATTTCATCCGATCCAGAAGCCTGAATCACCGTCAGTTTGACAGCCTTCTCAGAGAGAAAGACCACATCTATGGCCTGCCATACCACACTGAGGTAAGATGGTTAAGCCGAGGTGCTGTGCTGAGGCGTTTCTTTGATTTACGAGAAGAAATTGAACAGTTCATGGAAGAAAAGGGCAAACCAGTGTTAGAATTTCATTCCGCAGAATGGATGCAGGACCTTGCATTTATGGTGGATGTTACAGAGCACCTGAATAACTTGAACAAACAGCTGCAAGGGCGCAACAAAGTTGTCACGCAGTATTATGACAGCATACGTTCTTTCAAGTTGAAGCTGTCATTGTGGGAGACGCAACTTGCCGGTGGTGATGCAGCTCACTTCCCCTGTCTGAAAAATGTGTGCGTGACCCAACATGTGGCAGACATGAAGCGGTTCAAAGATAAAATAACGGGACTGTTACGGGAGTTTGAGCAACGCTTTCAGATTTATGTTTATATGTTTTTATGTTGATGTGCTATTGTTTTTAATTGTTTTTATTTTATTTGTATATTTAACCTATTCTTGACTCTGTGGTTCTTGCACTTGTTTGGGGAACAGGATTTCATCATTTTTATCTACATTTCTGCCTGAGAAATGACACCCTGATATAGTTATGTGATCTGTGAAACAGTTCTGTTAATCACTGAGGCATTGTGTGTTTGTGTGTTCTTTGTCCTCAGAACTTTCAAATAACTTGAGGTGTTTTATGATTAATAGTGATGTTGTGCTTTTGGACACTGTCCTCAGGCTCCAGCTTTATGTTTATATGTTTTTATGTTGATGTGCTATTGTTTTTAATTGATTTTATTTTATTTGTATATTTAACCTATTCTTGACTCTGTGGTTCTTGCACTTGTTTGGGGAACAGGATTTCATTATTTTTATCTACATTTCTGCCTGAGAAATGACACCCTGATATAGTTCTGTGATCTGTGAAACAGTTCTGTTAATCACTGAGGCATTGTGTGTTTGTGTGTTCTTTGTCCTCAGAACTTTCAAATAACTTGAGGTGTTTTATGATTAATAGTGATGTTGTGCTTTTGGACACTGTCCTCAGGCTCCAGTTTTATGTTTATATGTTTTTATGTTGATGTGCTATTGTTTTTAATTGATTTTATTTTATTTGTATATTTAACCTATTCTTGACTCTGTGGTTCTTGCACTTGTTTGGGGAACAGGATTTCATTATTTTTATCTACATTTCTGCCTGAGAAATGACACCCTGATATAGTTCTGTGATCTGTGAAACAGTTCTGTTAATCACTGAGGCATTGTGTGTTTGTGTGTTCTTTTTCTTTAGAATTTTCAAATAAACTTGACGTGTTTTATGATTAATAGTGATGTTGTGCTTGTACTATTTTGGACACACTGTCCTCAGGCTCCAGCTTTATGTTGTATGTTGATCGTATTAAAACAAAGAAAACAATCTGAAGTTGTTGTTTTTAAGTTATAAATACCATGATTTTTCCGGTCCGGCCCACTTGGGAATAGATTTTCCTCCATGTGGCCCCTGAGCTAAAATGAGTTTGACACCCCTGGTCTAAACTATATCCTCTTCCATATTCATTATTACAGTATCAGATAATACAAATTGAACACAAAATAACTATTTGAAATGTAGCTACCTTCCTACATAATAACTTACAGTTTTCACATGATGAGAAATACAGTGAGGGAAAAAAATATTTGATCCCCTGCTGATTTTGTGTTTGCCCACTGACAAAGACATGATCAGTCTATAATTTTAATGGTAGGTTTATTTGAACAGTGAGAGACAGAATAACAACAAAAATGTTATAAATTGATTTGTTTGAGAGGGGGTCAAATACTTATTTCCCTCATTAAAATGCAAATCAATTTCTAACATTTTTGACATGTGTTTTTCTGGATTTTTTTGTTGTTATTCTGTCTCTCACTGT